AATAGATTAGAATACCTAGTCCTTGTAGAGAATCCCTACACTTGACGGGCAAGGTATGAAAGGATTAATATTTCGTAAATTTTCTAGCCATTCTATAGAATCTCTAAGGAAAAAACTGCAAGGAATGACTGCGCAATGAAAATAATATTTCTCACTGTATTTTTACTTTTCCTAAAAATGTCTGACATTCTATAGAGTGGCAGCCTTTCGTGGATTAACAGTAAGAAACATAATTTTTCTTACTTGTCTTTTCCAAAACTATTAAAAATAGTTCTACTTTTTAAACCTTTTTTTTTTTTTTTTTTTGGATTTACAATGATAGCCGCAAATCCAATATGAATTAGTTGTTGAACGACGGATATAAAATAAAATAAAATATAGGTTCTCAAAACTAATTGAGTGATGCAATCTAGGAAAAATAACATTTTGGTAGTATATTAAATATATTTTTAATTTATAATTTTTTAAGTTTTCATTAAGATATTTTCAAATGTATTTTTTTCTTCAAACATGTTATAAAAACAAATAGCATGAGAAATCTTATTAGATATATTACAAATTTCGCTATACGAGATTTTTCACGATATATCAGTAGAGTGAAATTACGATATATCAGATTTTTTGTTCCGTAACATGTTCCTGTAAAAATAGATTTTACGGTAAAAAGTACCTTAATTTGATCCCGAATTTTTTACTGAGTCGAGAATAAAGTTGCGTCATCCAGTCTAGAAGTAGTCCTGTCTAAGAAAGAAGTAGAATAAGGATTGATAAAATACGTGTTTATTAATTAAAGTGTAAACAGGACGTAATTGAGAGAAGCAAACTTTAATCGTGAATTTTACAATGTTTGACGTCAATTTTTTAAAATAGTAGATTCCTCCCTCACAAATGCATACCTGCCCAATTCTTCAAAAGTTTGATGTCTAATAAATAGGGGTCAGAACAATAGTTTTACATCGTAATACTGTAGTTCTCGCTCTGTCAAAAGCATTTGCGCACTCGCTTGACTCTCTAATACAGAGGTCGCCAAAGTGGTCTATATAGACCCCCAGGGGTCTATTTAACAAAAGCGGGGGTCGATCTGATTCAGGGGGTTGAATGGGGTTCGATCCGAATCGGAAGGGTCGATTGGGGGTCGAAGAAATAACAGTTCTTAATACGCGAATCACACTTACCTAATTGAGTATGTAAAATTTGTGAATTTTTTTATGATTGACTTAGTATCAGTTTCTTTATCGAACATAAATTAATAAACGTATATTTATTCGGGTGAAACAAGTATTTACGTACCAGTGGCACGAACTCTGCACTTCTTGTTTATAAATCGATGTGCCCTTGTCCAAATATCACGTGTTACAAGCATTGACGTTACAAAAGCAAATATCCTACGCAGTTTCAGTTATCTTTGCAAACTGTGTTGAATATTTGCAGTGTCATTATTAAAACTTTTATATCTATACAATTCATCTTCAAAAAATGAGCGACGATTTTAAACTGCGCTATGTTGATTTGGAAAACATTTTAATAATAAGCAAGTTTTGGACAAATATAAATATAATGTGAATGTGAAAATATGTAAAACTTTAAAAAATAGCTCAGTCATTCATGCTAGCATTTCAAAGTACCTATATGGTTGATACCGGTTTCAGTCACGTAAATTCAATCTTAACTAAGTACAGAAATTAAATGTGGAGTTTTGAGGGAATTTAAGATTAAAATTGACCAATTTTGAACCCAATATAGCGAACCTTGCAAAAAAACACCAGGCACACCCATCTCGTTGATTAAGAAGCAATAAATCTGTAGTTACTTTACTTATTTCTTCACAAAACTATTGTTACACAATGTTTTACTATTACTTTAATAAATGTTTAAAATCATAAAATAAATGTACAAACACAGTATCTAATAGAGTTTTATTTTAATTAACAGAAAATTACTTTTATGGGGTTGATGGAGATTTCGAAAAATTATATAGGGGTCGATGATCAAAAAAGTTTGGCGACCCATGCTCTAATAGTTTGATGTCAAATGAATAGATGGCAGCGCAATATTTTTACATTGTCACACTTGAAACGTTACGATTGCTCTTGTTTCCCAGTGGCGCTGTCTATGGCTAAGAATTCGACTTCCGTCTCACCCATGCGTCACACCCATTTATAGGGCTGACTGATTCTTCCATCCATTCATTCATCCGCAGATGTAATTTTGACTTGAACGAGAGAACGATCCATCTCCAATTCAGTACCTCCAGAGGTATAATTTGTTATGGGAACAGGGAGGACTTAGTGATCCGGCAGATTTAACGTGCACCAGTTGCCATTTATTACACGGGAAGTCTTCGGTCGACTTCTATACGAACTCCCACTCTCACGAACGTAAGTCCAGCGCCCTGTCAACCAAGGCTATTCCGGCCCCTATTATTTATCTCTGAAACTTAAATGAAAGTTTTAATTAGTTATTCACACTTTCTGAGGTTGCTTTTCTGTGATCATTTGTTTTAAGCTTTTTGGCAAAAATAGCCCACTCATACAAGCTTAATTTATATAAAATCAGAAATGCGTGCCATTTATTTAAAATTCTCTTTAGAATATTTATAAATCTTTGCTGAAACAATATTGATCATTTCGCTACGATAGTTAATAATAGTTTCTCTGTGTGGCACAGAAAACTTGTAATGCTGCAGAATTTTTAGCATCTATCAAGGGAATGGAATAGATAATAAACTAGATAAACAGTTATCAAGCGTTTCAAAGATTCGATTTTGTAAACTATGTACCAAATCTAGGACCATTGCATAGAGTTAATCAAAATTTGAACATACATATCTTACATAAAAGACTGAAAAGCTGCAAAATATATAAATAACACGCATTAAAGAATGTTTTACTTCTTCCGTTAAACATAAGGGAAATATTTGTTCTACAACTCATGCATAAATCCTTTTATAACTTGGTCGCGAAGATATTCGCATTTGTAAAAGACGACTTCTATATAATAGGAGGATTTTTATCTTGACTGTAGCGATAAAGATTGAAGTACTAGATGTATTAAATTTTATCGAACTGAATAATTTATTTAATATACAGTGTATATTTAACTTTAGGGACACTCAAGCTATTGAGAATGTTTAAATAAGAGATTGAACTTGAATTTTAATACTTACTACGAAGCAAGTAAAGTTTCAGAGAGAAATTAAATATTAGTTCAAATACTTTTTAATATTAAAAAACAGTGTAAAAATATGAGTTTGTTTCAATTTTTTTTTAAAAACACTTTAGAAAAATTATTTATTTGAGTGTGCAAAAAAATTATTAGTATCTAATTGTTGTCGAAACATATGTTTTGACAACATCATGATATCATGATGTTCATGTTCATGATCAACATCATGATATCATGTCCTCAAATAAGCCTGTTTTCGTTAATATGATAAATCTCTGAAACCATAAAGTTTGATTTGCATTGCTTATTTTCAACTACGGGTTATAGTTTAGTGAATGCCGAATTCTGATAAATGTTCTTCCAAATGAAATGTATTTTAAAGCAAAGTGTGAACATTTTTGAGTTAAAAAGCTCATTTTTCGCTCACCCAATCAAATGTATTTTGAAACAACTTAATAGTAAGGTTTTCATAATCACACTATTGTGAATGTGAACTTTTATTAAAAGTCATTGCTTTCCTATCAAATCAAATGTCATTTAAAGCAAGGTTTTCGTAATGTCATTATTATAAATGTGTGTATTTCAAGCTTAAAAATCATTCAAATGAAGTATTTTTTGAAGCAGGGTTTTTGAGAATCCTTTTATTGAAAATGTTTACCTTTCAGGTGTACTTTTCACAACACCAAATCAATTGTATTATTAAGCCTATTTTTCATAACCCCTAACATTGTGTGTGTGAATACTTCATGCTGGAGAGTCAATTTTTCACCCATCAAATTAAGTTTATTTTGAAAGAATTTCAGAGCAAGGTTCAAAGCAAAGCAGAAAAAAAGTATATTCACGTCTCATACCTACGATTAGCTTGTCACGGAGATTCGAAATTTTCAACTGGTGACACTTGCTTTTTCATCGAAACGTAATCCTTGCTGCAAAAAAATTTTTTTAAATAAAAATGAAGCTGGTAACGTGTTTACATTTGCAAAAAAGCTGCTCTAAGCAGAGATGAAAAAAGAGCAATTTATAAACTTTGACATAGTGGTCACGCTCTTATGACAGCGGCAAGAAAGATAAATGCTCTATGGCTTGTATTCTGCAAAAACAGCATACATGTCATTGGGCATTGAAAATGTTCAGCATCACCGCTGTTCGAACTAAATAATATTCTGTAATCGTAAGCGTGAGGGCGGATCAAACCTCATTCAAAATTTTATTTCGTTCTCTCGAATTGTATTACAGCTTGAGAGTCGTGTGAAAGCAAAGTTATTTCGTAATCACCCTAAATTTCTTTCTTTACTCATGATGCCTTTTTAATGATTGACCTTACATTTTGTAACATACATTAAAGAAAGAGGGAAAAAAACAGTATCGCAACTGTTTGGATATTACCAAGTAAATCTACACTACAATGAAGATGATCCGAAATAAAATAAAAAATAAATTAATAAAAAAAAAGATAACACCCTTATCTTCAGAAATATTCAAAGAATTTCTGCACAACTGGAAAAAAAATTACAAAAAATAATGGGTAAAAGTAACGTAAAGTGTGGAATTTCTATTCAAATTACAAAATTTTATCACCTTTGTGGAAACGATTTCTCCACCAGTTCGCAATCTCATCTCTTTTACATTCCATGCGTCTCGACTTGACTTCTTTTTTATTATTATCTCAGTCACATAACCTTTAGGGTGTGACATACCATAGTTCATCTACTCGTTTTATGAATTCATTAATTCCGAACATGTAAAATCGCCGTAGGGGGTTCGGAAAAAAAAAGAACATTTCAAAGTTCTTATTCGAAACGAAAGAAGAGTGGGGTGAGGAAGGAGGTAGGCTTAAACACATACTGTAATCGTTCTGTTGATTATATTGCGGCTATTGCAAAGCGAAAAGGCATCTTGAAGATAATCGCGAAAGGGCTTATTTGTGGACTTTGGAAAGTCGTAATTTTCGTCTCAGGTGTGTTTTTTTCTGAGTGAGGGTCGTCCATTTCGTTGTTTGTCTGTTTCGGTGATTGGCAAGAGTCATCGGCGACTGGGATATGATGTCGCTGCACTTTTCAGGACATCTCATTGAACATGGTCATCAGTAAGTGTCAACGCCATTTTGTCTCATACTAGTTTTACTCGTTCCATCTGGAAATCACTTTTCAACAAAGCTAAGTGATCAATGATATTTTATATTCACGGGATCTAAAAAACCTGCAGAAGTTCGAGAAAATTTTTAGATTTAAAAAAAAAGCCAGGAAAATTTCTAACTTTTGAAAAAAAAAATCACGAAGAAGTTTAATTTTTAAGTCTAGATATCCTAATATTTTTTTATTAAAAGGATCATGAAATCCTGGAGAAGTCAAGTTAATTTTCCAGGTCTTAGGAACAATCAAAGAAATTTTTAATTTTTGAAAAAAAGTCACCAAAATATTCAATTTCCAAATCTAGTTACCCTAATATTTTATATTCCATATTACCATATATTTATCTAGAACACCTGGAGCAGTCAGGGACATTTTTCAGAGCCTAGAAAAAGTCTGGAAAATTTATAATGTTTAAAAAAAAAATCACAAAATTTTTTTAATTTCTAAGTCCAGATACCCTGATATTCTTTTATTAATGGTATCTAGAAAACTTGAAAGAGTGAGTGAAAAATTTCAGACCGCAGAAAAGTTAAGGAAATTTTTAATTTCTGAAAAATGTCACGAAAATGTTTTATTTTTAAGTCAAAGAATTTTATATTCCCTGGGGAAAATAGAACTTTTTTTTAACCAAGTTTTAAATCTATATTCAGCATAATATGAAGAAAACATATATTTCAGTCACCTTTGCAATTATTTTACTCTAATCCTTCCTTGTAATCAGAGAAATTTTTTTCTAATTTGCTTAATTGGTATATAATTAAAAAAAAAACAAATTAAGTCTAATTTGTTTCCCCAATTTGTACCTATTTAGTAAAAAAAATATTGATGTATTATGTTTCAGTAAATATAGATAATAAAACTAAGAGTGTAGTTAATAGAGCACTATTTAAATGCGTGTAAAAATAGCATAAAACCGTCAACTGCTGAACTTTAATATTTATTGTATATTCTCTTTTAATTTTTTCTATGAGGAATATGTTAAACCTACGTAGATTTTTAAAAAATAATTAAATCTTAGATTTTTATTTTTTTTTTAAGGAAAAGAGCCAGAAAACGTCTAATATTGTTAAGTATATGTTCTTAAAATTAAGTTTAAATTTGTATGGTTGATATTTTACACCATTTAACATTTTACTAACTAATAAATGTAAGGTGATAATAACTGATTCTGGAAACATCAGAGAAATTTCGCCCAGAATTTCCCCAGATACCCTGTATAGTTCAAGAGAATATTGGATTTTCAACTTATAATTGTTTTAATTTGTGGAAGAAATCGTTTATCACATTTTGAGATGAAATTTCTCTGCTGAAAAATAATAAGCATCAAAATGTTTCGAAACACATAATTAAGAAATATATCGATTTTAAGATGAAATTTATGCAATGGGAATTCAGACAAATTCAAGATAAAGATTGACTAATAATAACCTTAGTAATACTCATAATAGTTATATAATAATAGTAATAGTAATGTAATATAATATTAGTAAAATAATCTTAGCGAAAAGTAATTTTACAAAGTAATATATTCTGTTCTGTAATGTCCTAGAAACTTAATCTGGGATTAACTTCTATATATTAACTTCTTAAGTACTTTTTAATCTCACTATTTAATTTCAATATAATAAAAAGAGTGCATGCTGTTGTTGCGACTCTTAAAATCTTTTAAAGTATCAAGTTATTTAGTAAATTAAATTTTATAATTCCAAAACTACCCAAACATAAAACTATAGAAAAATTTATACCATAAATATTATTAAAGCAAAGTACTTTAATTCGCTTGTTTATAAAACCTGCAATAAAATAAGTTATATTCTTAACGTTATTCTGGTTTTTTATCAAGCATATCCTCACATAATAATTTTAAAGCAGTATAACATTGCTTCATTTTCTCCAGACCCATTATTATATTTTATTTTATAACCGTCGTTGAACAGCCGACCCAATATTTTGGGTTTCCGACAACTCATGTTCAACTCCGTAGCCTTGTAATTTTGAACCCAACCCAAAAGACAAGGGAACTCTTGGATAAAGTGTTGGGGAAAATTTGCCTGCGTGGAAGACATTTTTGATGGAACCAATCCGCATTTGCGTTAGATAAGGAAGAAAACTACGAAAATCTCCCATGGTTAGCCTGACGGCAGGGGGACTTTAACCCATAATCCGTCTATCACTGAGGATATTTTACGTCAGAATTGTGGTGGTTGCAAGCCGGATGAGGAATTCGTATCCACCTGTCCTTGCTGGGATTCGAACCCAGTTCACCTCATTGGAAGGCGAACGCTCTATCACGGCTTCCCCGTTTTTATATCAATGAAATTTTATGAATTTATAATAACATTAAGTTATTCTCTGGCAAGTTTCAATAAGATTACGTATTTCGCTTGTTTATTTCCGAACAAAAAGTAAAATGAAATCTCTCAATAATAACTGTAATTTTATTCCTAAAAAATTTTATTTTAATTATTAAGTATCAATTCATAAATTATATATTTGATGAATAATTATATAAATTAAATTTTGAAATATAATTACACATCAATATTAAAAAATTTTCTGTAATGGTAAATACTGGCAAATTTTAATGTTGATGATTAATGTGTGATCAAATATATAGTACCATGTATTCAATTTATAAATTCAATTACCGCAACAAAATTACTTCGTTCATTCTTTTTTTCACATTTCAACTATAATGAAATTTCGCATTGACTTTTTTTTTTCCTTCCAAAAATGCTGCGTGTTTTATAAGACAAACAATTTTTCGCATTTTTCGAACTACAGAGAAAACGGAGAGAAATAATATAAAAACTTCTTTTTATTGTTTAAGAGAAAATGTTAGCGTTAATTGAGTTTACTAAAAATAGTTTCTTCTTACGAAATTTATATTTCTCGCACACATTAATATTTTTTTTTTCTTATTTGCGTGTCTAAAAGTGAGAAATCGTTGTAAAATATTTACCTTTATTTCTAAAAAGCAGCAATCGTTAACGAAAACACTAAATACCATTATTTTCTACCGGTTTTTGTATTTTATTTCTATCTTAGTGAATATCGAATTACAAGAAAAAAAGTGAAAATATCAAAAAATCGGGAACTATTTACTTGTAATGAAATACTAAAACAAAGCTTTTTGGATTGAATTTTACCTATTTCTTTATTTTATTCAGGAAATTCGAAGAAATCTTTTTTTTAACAGGATTTTTATATCAGTAAAGGAAAACTTTTTCACTATTCGAGAATTTTCTAGAAAATGTTACAATAAATTATGCCCTTTTTACAATTACTTTTGTTTAAAAAAAAACTTTATAAACATTATTTTAATTGAATATGTATTTTGCCGAATATCGGTACTTAAGACATTTGGAATTAAATTAAAATTAAAATTTAGAAATAATAATTCCGAGCTAATGAATTACAAAATACGTATCTCTTATAAAAAAAGGTCTAGGATTCTAATCTGTATCCAATTACAATTTTTTTTCTATTTTACTTCATTTATGCCTTTGCAAATGGAATTACACGATTTTCCCTCTCCTCACATTTTCCTCCTCTCCGATACCATGGTTTCGGTGAATCTTACTTTTTAAGACGCCAGTATATTCCAAATTCTCACAGAACATTCTACAGTGTGTAAAAAATCAAGATTGACTTAAACGAAGAGGGGGGAATGTGGAGATTGGAAAAATCGCTTCACATTGAGAGGCCTACTATATTTAAAAACAGTATAGCTATATAGAAAGGAAAAATGTTAAGCGTAGTTTTGCTTCCAATGAAAACATGCTAGATCTTCCTTAATAACAACTAATACGTATATTTTTAAATCTCTTTATACTATGTCTTTGTTTACCTGAAAATTGCCAGGAAAAAAAAAACTACCTATCATCGCTTTTTGCAACATGTTATAAAAATTTCGATACAATATATGAGAAATAACTGGAAAAGCAGAATTATTAGTTGTGTTTTTTTTAAATCGAATAAAAGGCACAAAAAAATCACTCTGAATGAAAATTTGGATTTTAGGAGCATTTTAAGTGCAAAAAAAATATTTTAAAAAAAATTGAAAAAATTTTTCTTTTAATTTTTTTAATATATTTTGGATTTTTTTTTAAAGTTTTTCAGTGACTATTTTTTTATTTTTAATTCGATTTTTAAAAAAATGTGAACTGTACAGGAGAGAATGTTTGAAAGTATTAAAATTTGAAAGTATTAAAATTTGCAATTATTTCTTGTTTAGTTTTTATTTATTTATCATTATTCACTGTAGAACTCTTGTGAAAATATTTTCTTATGAAATTGCCATATCATGTATGCCATTGAAATATTTTTCTTAAGCGTTCATCAACTCCCCAATCTAAATTGTTATAATATAAGGCGTACATGTTTGGAAATTGTTTTTTAAATATTACTCACTGCGTATAAAATTAAAATTAACCTAAATCATGTTTTATAAGTAGAATATCCCCTTATTTAACTTATGTACGGAAAACAAAGGAAAAATTTTTTTATCTGTTGCTTGTATTATAGTTACAAACAACAGATAAAAAAAAATTCTGCAAATCAATATATGGTAATTGTATCGACATAACTTCATTAATATATTGTTATTAAGTCAAATTTTCTTAGAAACGCAATAAAAAAGCATGACTGAAACATTATTTAAATTACAAAAATATTTTTGTATCCAGATACATTTTCAAACTTAACCTTCCTATTGTTTGTTATCTCAAATGTGGCATTTGTTTCAAATTTTTATAAAAGTAGTATTTTAATTTATTTTTCTATTAACGTTATTTTTAACAGATATATATATTATATATAAATTTAAGAAATAATTAAGGTTTATTTTATAGGTTAAAGAGGAATAATAAGCGCTACTGAACAAAATTTATTGGCTCTTCGCAATTTGGTAAATTGTCCGTACCCAATCGCAGACATATCATTTTCTTTTAAA